GATATCACTCACAATGTCAGCGACACACGAGAAGGTCTTGGCGCCAAAACCAGTCGGATCTGGTTCCTCTTTTTCCTCGGTCATCTCAGAAATTCGGCGGAATTTACGGTACGTTCGTACGCGGTGTTCGATTGCCACGTCTAGAGACGATCCAAACCTGTCTCTCCAAGGCCCCTCGAGCACAAGCCGGTACACGTGTCCCTCACGCACCCCGACGTGTACTGTGGGCGGTCGGAGGTTCGTTTTCCCGTCGGGTGGTCCAAGAATATTGGCACCAGTGCCCCGATGTGACCACACCACCACGCTGGCTTTGGTCATATAGTCTAGAGCCACTTTTCGAGATGGAGTAGAGGCGGGTGGTTCTGCATCCCCCGAAACCCATTTGTCGAACTTTACTTCCCCGATGTCTCGCTCCAGTAGAATCGAATAGAGGTTGCGGAAGTAGTTCCCACCGTCAAGAGCGTTCTTGTTTTGTACAGGCGCGCCCTTTTTTGGTCGACCACCACGAGATGAGATCATAAACGCACCCGTGGGATCTACATCGCGGAATCCAAACCTTCTCCTCTCCCGTGCTTTTAGCAGGTCGACTTGACTGTCACGCCAAGCGTCGGCGACGAGGACAGCGAGACAGGCTCCTGGGAGCTGTTCTTGCCATTTTTTGCCGAACGCGGTGATGGGGGCATATCTCACAACTCTGTGCCCGAAGGTCGCTATGTTAAGCTGTCTGAAAAAAGGGCTCTGTGAGTCGACACCAGATCGGACCTGGAGGTTCACAAGTGAGATCGGGATGCCCTGGGTGTCGACGTCGATCCTCCTGCCAGCTGACGCCCAGCAGAGGATTACTCGCCAGGTATCGTCGGCCGCTGACACAACCAGCTGTCCAAGGCCACCACCCTCTACATCTACAAACGCTGTGCGCCAAGCCTCGGCGTCACGCGGGTGGACCATGCCTCTCTGCAGAACCGTCCTTANTTTGAAAATTGTACAGGTTGGGATATCCTCCGAGGGGGTGCGAGTTGAACCACCTGTCTGTGTCCCGGCCCAGGCGAGGAAGGGAAGGAGATACGAATCCTAAATCCCGTCCCGAAGACGGCCTGGCGCCTATAGGTGACGCCTCCAGGCCCCATGTACCGCCACCCGTTGCTCCTGCCTGCGAGGGGCTCGGCCTGGTCTACCTGCTCCACATAGCACCACCGATAGCTGCTAGCATGTGATGACGATACAGCAGCAGTCGTGGTTGCCCGTGCCATTTTCTCTTTCAAATGAGCCAACATTGTTTTTCTTCTTTTTTACCCGAAGCGTCAACCACGGTGGTGGCACCGTTGACTGATGACAGTATGTCTGTCAGGTGATGAGAGACTGTCTGTCTGCCTGTATGGTGAAGACGCAAGTAAAATGAATGTAGAAAATATCTCTTTTCATGTGAGGGGGGGTGTAGTTGTGAGCGTGTGTCGGTGTTTCCTGTGGCGAATGTTTCCCGTCGAGATTTGTCCCTGCTGTGTGCCTCTCTTTTTTTTTCCAAAGACCTTCCGTCGTCGTGTGGGTGCGACAAAAAAAATCACAAGAGGGGCGGGGATGGTGGGTTCAACACCACCCAGCGTAAGGTGGATCGTAGCAGCCAGGAGTAAATGCGTTCGTCCAGGGAACGAATGACTGGCTGTATCCGTCCGTGTGGTCAGCGATTCCCGTGGAAGTCTGGCGTCATCATCAGTCCAATCAGTTGTCCACGGCGAACTTGATTTCATCAGGTGACGTCATGACCGTGGCTGACGTCATCGGTCGACCATGGAATTTTCTGCACAGGAGATTTCCTTTCAAAAAAATTGGCCAATCAGAAAACTGCGGGCACCTTTTCTCTCTCTCTCTCTCTATCCACTGTGGCTAGCAGCCAAAATGAGCAGTCGCGGGTGTACGTCCGCAAGCATATGACAGGCAGGCGATCTGTCCCCGAGACGCACAATTACAACCCGACCCTGTACATGCTGCTGCTGCTGCTGCTACAGTCGTTGCCCTGCCCCAACCGACCCAAGACTTCGCAGTCAAGCCGACCGACCTCACGGGTACACACCGTTCAAGCTATGTAGACATAGCCACGCCAATTAAATTACTGGGGTTATCAAGCCCCCGAGAGATGCTTGTACTCAGGATAGCTCCTGTCGTGACTCAATCGGCGATGCGTTACGAAGTTACAAACACAACGTTGTAGGAGTACCAGACTGCAATTTCCCGAACCGATATCATGTTCCATTTCGCGGGCAGGTGTAGCCTGACACCCCACTTCGAACGACACAACACTGTGAAACCCTCCCTCAAAAAGAACCAACACGCCTCGGCAGTTACTAATGGTAAGAAGCGCTTTATTGATCCACTAACAGCCCATCTCTCCCTCGCCCCTGGTGATAGACATTTAGCGCTCAAACACGACACGATAGCCTCCCAATTCCAACCTCCGGTAATTTTCGTGGCACCAGTGGCGCTATGATACACAGAAATGTACTTGTATGTCTCCACGACCTCCTCTTCTCCTCTTGCCGCAACAAGCGGATAGAGGGACATGACTGCTACATGCCTCGAGCAGACAAGAAAAAAAACAAGAGTCGAAAAAAAAAAGAAGGCAAAAACAGCAGCGATCGATGCGTAGCCTCTACTGAAACCTGATCGAGTCGCTGGCCTCACAACATCGAACAAAAGACCAACACAGGCGAACCAAACCAACCCGGACTGCATCACCCAACTGCGTGAAAGCCAGGCACACCCAACCCCAATGACACGACCCATTCCGATCCTGATACATATTGGGATCGGTCACGCCATACCGACAGATCCTTCGTCATTAAAACACACCCGAGGCGCCGACACATGCTTCGACCGGGCACTAACCAACCTCACCAGGTTCAAATTTAGTCACCAGGCCAACCCATAGCGGCAAGGTGCTGTAGATGAAACCTACATTCCACACACACGCTGCTGCGATGTGCACACGAGTCCGAAAGAAAAAGTGAGAGCTGCACCCGCACCTCTCGCCCCGCAAAGTCGTGCACACAACGGCCGCGGTCCTGGTATATCGCCCCCCTGCTAAGCGGTAACCCCATACACATGTAGCGACCACCAATTGCGTGGCGCTATTGCATATCGACAACAGGGAGCTGCCCTGAATGGCGACCGAATGCCCTCCTGAAACAATGAATGTTAGTGGTCGAGAATCGAACCGGGCCCATTTTGCAGCCTTGTCAGCTACCATAGCTCCCTAGCCAACAACAAAATATCGAACAACCAACTAAAACAAACCACGCCGCGATCCCAGGATGAGATTTCGAACAAGACTAAACGGCTAAATGAAGATGCACCCGCCTTCCCTCCCTCCATATCGTAAGCCACGGCAGACACAACACAAAGCCCGATCGATTTATCTGCCGCAAAAACAGTTACGGTGCCGTTGGCATTGGAAACCGTCTAGTCGAGAGCCTTCCGAAACCGTAAATCATTCCACGTTGACATCCTCATTCCACGTTTACATCCTCTCCTTTCGCGCAGCTGATCGAGCTTGAAATTTTTCCATGGGGTGCGCTTATCTTGTGCGGCCTACCGTATATATGTATAGCCCGTTCACTCTACTTGTACGAGCGTGTACACGTTCCGCTCTGGTGTCCCCGCGTGGCAGAACATGGGGTGGTGCGCCAGCGTGCGGCGGACGGACGCCTTCCACGCGGGAGTACGACGGAGGCTCGACTCGCTCCTCCAGTTCAACCGCTCGTGGAAGTGTTCCTAACGACAAACACGACGGCGGGGAATAGGGTTGTGTTCGTGTCATCGTAACATCATCATGCGGTCAGTGTGGGGAGGTTGGGTCTACATTATCAGGGGCGGGGTTGGGGAATACATCACCAAGCGCTGACGGATCATCAGAACATGGGACAAACGGGGGCACTAGATTGGTGCCATTACTATCGCCCTGAAGAAGGCCGTGCTACATGTATCCCCACGATTAGTGCCCTCCCTATCGTCCACGTCTTCGTGAGTGGACATGGACATTAACCCCTTTGGGTCTAACTCTTTTTTTTTTTGGCGGCAAAAAAAATAGGAAGAGAGAGTGTCGAGAGAGAGACAGAAGTACAGCAGAAAGACACGAGTGTCCTTCCGCAGACGCAACAGCTACCTCCACCCATAGGCCATGAGGGCTGCCCGCGACAGGAGGGTGGACACAGACAGGAACATAGAAGGGTTAATGCGTGATCGCGGTGCGGCCAGTAGCGCATCGTAGGCTTGTAGACCTCGAAAACACCAGTCGTCAAGCCGCTTAAACTACCCTATTTTCAGTATATTCAAATGATCAGCGAATATGATCAGTGAGAGGGCTTGTAGACCCGTAGCTGGTTCTTGTACTTCTGTACTCCTCTGTCCCCTCCCCAATGTGTTTGTTGTTGTTGTATTTCTCTAGCTCCTATCCTCCACTTCTACCAGCTAGACGACCCAACCGGGGTCACATAGCAGGGGGGGGTTGGACCCCTTCCTGCGGTTCCTGCCTATGATAGTTTTATCGCGAGAAGGGTACAGCAATCCCTTCCCTCGCGATTAATGAAGTCGATCAAGTTTACTAACATCGAGCGTTGCAGCGCGTCGCTTCCAACGGAGACCAGTATTTGATAAGCGAGAAAAATCTCACTCCGTCGGGACTCGAACCCATGATCTGGCCCTTAGCAGGCTGCGGGGCTACCCACTACCACCGGGGCGAGCCCTGCCGGCTCACTACAGCTCCTGTGATTTTTCCAATATTCCCACAAGCACGCAAGCACACACCACACCTAACTTTGCATCAGTGGCTCTCTAGGTTCGGGCGAGGGTATGTGTGGGGCAATTCTGATAGTGTATGTGTTACTACCTACTCTGCTGTAAATGTTGGACTCGTCGATACGCCTGCTGCTGTGTAGATAAGCCGCTGACATGATGACTGAGCTGGATCTTGGGAGTGTACGATTTTCGAATGTGCAGGATATGCAGCATACCACGATATCCTGGCCTGGTTGGACTTTAAAGTGCCCCTTTTCGCTGTCCTCCTGCCTTTGCTTTAGTGGCTTCCTAGATTCGGGCGAGGGCATGTATGTGGAGCTATTGATGTGTCGGTGAAAGGATATGGGGAGAGATTCATGGTGGTATTCGCGTTTAGAGCAGTGTGCATTTTTCTAATTTTGGCCGTTCCAGGGACCTTGATGTTTCCCGCTGGCACTAACGTCTTTTCACTGGCCACCGAGTAGCGCGGTCGATGCGAATAATTAAGACACAGCTGCCTATTGACTTGCCAACACCTGGCGTGGAGGGACACAGGGCGGCAACTCCTGGCATGCCACAACACCATCATTTGCAAACAAATGATCAATCAATCATCTGTCAGGACGCCTGTAGACCCATAAGGGTTAACAACAGAAAGCAAACAACCAGAAATAACACAAAAACACATCGGCGGACGGACACTGTTGCGTTCGAATACGCATACGATTTCTGTTGGGCCTTATCGAGGGGAAGCATGGTCGCATTCCACAACACGTTTGTCACCATACGGCACGGGTTTCCCGCCAGTGGCTCCCGTCGCCCTCCTCCCCAAGGAACCCTCAAAAAAAAAACACGGAACCCTCCCATGTAAAACCCACGCACGCAGTGTCACCAGAATATCGGGGGGTGGGGGTGTACTCATCGTCGTGCATGCCGTAGTCGTTAGACCATTGACCTCGCATCCCTACAAAGCCGGGACGGAGCACGCCGGGTTCTCACCGGACCAGGCTCTCACACCACCAAGAGCGAAGCGCCGTGAGGTTTTCGGCGAATCGCATGAAGGGTGCGCTGCATCCTGCNGGGGGGGGGGGGGGGGGGGGGGGGGGGGGGGGGGGGGGGGGGGGGGGGGGGGGGGGGGGGGGGGGGGGGGGGGGGGGGGGGGGGGGGGGGGGCGGCTTGTTTTACAATGTCGTTGCCAAGCGACGAAAACTCAACCCCAATGAGAATATCGGGAAAAGGGGAAGTACTCATCTCGGGCTCGGGACGCGCTTAGCTATGTCCAGTTCCAGTTGCTCGGGGTGAGATCTGGTGCGGTTCTTTACCGCTCACCTCGATGTAGGCGCACACTGTTGGCAGGTTGCCCTGACGGCCGGGGAGCTTCATGAGGGCGGTGCGGATCATGTCGGCGTACGGCGGCTCGTCATCGTCGTCTTCGTCTTCGTCGCCCCCTGAAACAAACAACAACACAGCGCGGTTCAGTCCGAGGCGGAGCACGCAGCGGCGGTGCATGGGCGGAGGGGGACGTACTCTCACGTTTTGCATGCCTTAGCGGATAGACAATCGAACACGCGTCCTCGAGAGGACGGAGCATTGTTCCCACAGGACCGATCACCGATGGCCAACAATCGTTCCTTCCTGCTTTTGCCAAAGGTGGCTCAAATGTTTTCCCTAGCCCATCTATCCTGTCAGCAGAAGGGGTGCTCGTGCAAACGCACGCCACAGTCGTTAGACCATTGGCCTCGCGTCTCTACAAAATGCCGGGACGGAGCGATGTGCCGGGTTTTCTCTGGCGCCGGCCATGTTTAACGAGGATAAGCCAGAAGGTGGCCATCATCCTGCGTTCGCTGTGACAAACCATAGATGTCACGGGGGGCTTGTAAGCGGCATCACGCTGGTGGTTTAACGGTGTGCGGTGTGTGCATGGTGTCTGTATGCCGAGGTCGCGACATGACAGAGTGGGCACGATTCCTGTTCGGACAGGCGACTCATTTTGGTTGGGTGCTCGATAGAGCCTCAGGTGTGTGCCATCGAGGCAACACTTTCAAACCTCGACCCATCAACACCGAAACCAAATCGTTTTTTTCGGTTGAGACGTTCCTTCCTATTGAAATAATCAAAGTCAAGAAATACTCGACACGTCAGCCTCGAGGTTCAAGGCGTGAGCGAGTGATACAGTAGAGGTCCCTGTTTAGTGCCGGGGCGTGCGCAGAAATTCCACTGGCACTAAACAGGGACCCTACCGAAATAGAACCGAAACATGCGTCAGGGCTCCGGACCACAAGACAGACTAAACGTGCAAACTCGAACTGACCACGCTCGAGCAAACAAAGGGGGTCCCGTGTCTTGCGTCAGGCGCATCAGAGGGCGGCAACATGCCTGACGGGGTCAGAGCATCAGGCGGCACAGCCGCCAGTATCGATCGAATGACTCCACTGGATCTCGTGCGGGCGGCCTTCATGTTTTCTGACTGGGCCATCGTTGCGTCCTGTCCTGTCTGTCCAATAGTGATTTGGTCACAACCGAGCATCGTCTGCTGCTACACGTACAGCTACAGCAGGGTAGCAGTAGTTTGTGTACACCCCACCCCACCCACCCGTTTGATCGTCGCCATCATCCTCGACGGCGCCATCCACGCCGCCACGGCCACCTCCGCCCCCCGCCTGTGGCGGCTCATCGTCTTGGGCAGGCTTGCTGTCGTCCTCTTCGAAGCCCTCTGGGAGGGGCACCACGTATCGAGCTGGCAGAGACCGTCCGGGCGTGCGCCCGGTGTCGTCAGCATCGTCGTTGAACTTGACCTCGATGCGCCTCTCCGCACCGGGAGCAGGCTTCGGGACCTGTGTTGAGGGGGGGG